ACAGCAGATCCAAAAAGGCCCGTCGGGGAGAGGGGCGCGTTAAGAAACGCGGCGCGCTCAGAATCTCCCATGTCGGCGAGCGTGAGCCATAAGTGTCTCTCGGCAACACAAAGGCTGGCCATGCATCTCCCCAGAGCTTGTGCAGCGGCTTTAGTGGCGCGAAGGGCGAGGTCCGTAGCACTTCTCAGATCCGTGACAGCGGGGGAGGGGTTTCTACCGCCTTCGGCCCACTCACGGAGAATATCGCTCTGTAATACTTGGAGGACAGACATCGAATGTAGCGCTGCGGCGGCCTGACCGGCGGCGGCGTAGGCGCGAGCATGAAAGCTCGAGGTCGCTCTGCAAGCTTTCGAAGGAAGCGTGGGGGAAGAGCGCCATCTAGCAGAGGGCGGGCAGAGGTGTGCGGCGACCAAGTCCTCAACGGGCGGCATGGCTGAGTAGCCTTTCTCGGCGGCTCCGTCCACCGAGCGCAGCGAGGCGGATATATCAGAGCGGTTTCTAGCCGAGAGCGGGGCATTCCAGGACTTCGTCAGCTCTGCGTGAAGTTCAGGCAGGAATGGAGCGGCCCGGTTGCACGCGGGGGTCGAGCGCCGATGAAAAAAGCTGCCGTCCATCCGGTTCGGGGCCTGCTCGGGTGGAGGAGACCACTCGAGACCGAGGCGTTCGACGGCCTGTGAGAGGAGGCGCATTAGTTCCTCCTCTATCCCGGCGCGGATCCCCGCCGATTCTCTCGTGGATCCGAGAGATGACCATTCTTCACTGTCAGAAGCGAGCAGTGAACAGGAGTCCTTCTCCTCCGCGGCGTCATCGGAAGCGACAGAGCGGCCACTCGGCGGCAACTGTATGTCCGGCAGGGGCGGGGAGGGAGAGCGGGAGGTGGCGGCGGCGGCCCGCATTGTTCCGCTGGGGGCTCCGGCGGCCTCTGGGAGCGGCGTTTTTTCTTACGCGGCGAAGAGGAAGGCGGCGCGGGAGCGGATTTTGCTGCCAGAAGTCGTGCCCGCAGGGACGACAACGGCAGGCTCTCACAGAAGTCGCATCCTCCATCCGCGAGGGCGAGTTCTGCGTGCTCGAGTCCCAGGCAGAGAGCGCAGATGACATGGCGGTCTCCGTCCTCGAGACGAGCGCGGCAAGAGCCGCAGGAAAAACGAGACATCTTTAAAAAGACGCTCGGCTCTTTTAGATATAATAGAGAAGGATACAGTCGTCGGATGGCGCTAGCTTGCAGGGCGGCTAAAGGTGGCGAAGACGGCCGGCTTCTTCAGGGTCCGGGAGCTCGCTAGAGTGATGCCTTCTCGACGGCGACGGCTTTTCTCAGGACAGCAGAAGCGTGCAGCTTGCTGAAGATGAAATGAATCAACATATAAGCCTGGGAGAGACTGTTATATACACCATGGCCACGCCCATTCTGGCGGGCCATGACGCAATGAGCGCGCGGGCGCCTCTCATTGGAAGCGGGTTCAGCCCCGCTCTCCCATAGGCTTAAGCAGTTCTCTCTGAGCGAATCAATGAGCTGCTAGCTAGCCTGCTCTAGGTCTGCCGCAGAGGAACTGCGTTGTGTATGGATACAAATTATGAAATAATTTTTGGCTTCAATATCTCAGCAAAGATGAATCTTTCCCCCACAGCGTAAGCTAGCTTACGCAATACGAGAGAACCTCTCGTAAGAGAACCGCGCACTGCGCAGTGGATTGAGCGCGCAGCAGCACAGACACGCGAGCTGGTCGAGCACATCTCTTTAAACCGACATCAGTGGAAGGTTTGTAGTTTAGTCGGATGTCAATGGCAAAGAAAATAAAACAAGGCATGTCCTAGCTTATTATTAACGTTAACTGACGAGAGAGAGCGCAGTTCTGTTGAATGCTCTTGCTACTTGATTTAGTTGTCATCCAAATATAATAGCAAAGTAAAACATGACCTGTTACCTGATTTATGTATAACGAGTGATTCCTTACATTATTACTGGACGTTTGCAGTCAATAAGTTCCATGAACGCAAACATCCAAAGCGCGTGCCCCGGAAACCAGCGTCTCAGCGCGCGAATACTGAATTGAATTGTCTTTCACGTCTTGCGCTTGTGCTGAGGAATTCACACAAAATTATGTAAAAATGCCCATATTTGCGAGTATCCTAGTAAACAAAGTCAGGTATATCAAGTGAACGTAGCCATGGGGTCCGTGCTTTCGGTCTTAAAGGGGCAGCACTTCAATAAACCCACTGCTGTTTTAATGTTAATCAAACAATGAATGGACAAATAAATTACTCACTGCTCTTGACTAAATAGTCTACCCTTTTCAACTTTCAAAAGATCCATCTATATTTAATTTATCCAGTAATTTGTAGCCTTTCTTTGTTCTATTGTATTTATTTGTAAGTTGATTATTCGTTCTTATTTTGTTGCTGACTGCTTACCTTTTAATAATGTTTTAAATTCACATTAATTAGGCTGGCAGTTTTTGTTGTAGTATCAAAATTGGATTAAATTATTTATATTTCACTGGTGTCTAAACATTTGTACCACTGACCCAATTCTCAGCACTGACATTTCTGGAGCTGCTCTAGTCTAAATATGTGCTGTGCTATTCAATGAAATATAAAATATGATAGAGCAATAGAATGTACAGTAACAAAACCTCATACAATACAATTTAGCAGGCTTAATTAAGCATGCAAATAATTGAAAGAAATATATATTTGATGAACAAATTAAGCCAACTAATATGATTATTACTAATACATTTAAAAATTACAAATGCAGTGAAAATTCAGGGATCGGTTACAGTATCGGTATCTCGTTCTGCAAAAAAGTGGTATCGGTCCATCCCTAATTAAAAATATTGTGAATTTATTATTTATTTTTTTGTTGAAAAAATACAATTGTTTCACGCTAAATCAACGCTGTAGCCCGTCTGAGATATAGAGCTATTTCTCATGGCTATGAGCATGATATTAAGTATATGATAAGTATATAATACAACTTTCATTCTTCAGGTCAATCATATATATATATAAATGGGGGGGAAAATCAGTTTCAATATCCTTTCAATGGTTAAGGCGATTTCCCATGCCTGCCAGCGCTGGTAAATGGATTCACCTCTCTGAATTGAAACATCAATAAGTAAAAATAATAATCAAGATATTGTTTGATAAGTGCCGATTGAAGTCCTTGAAATCCCAAAAAGTAGTGCTTGAAAAGTCCTTGAAAGTCCTGGAATTTCATTTGACAGAGTCTGTACGAACCCTGTGTTTTGCATAATAAGGCAAATTTATATGTGTGTAAACTAAATGTTGACTAAAATAAAGAGTATATTTTTGTAGAAGAGGAAGGACAGGCGTGAGGTGAAGGTGAGTTTTGCCCACATCACACACTGTCTGTAATTAGAACGATAAACACTTATTTTCAGACGCATTCTTTAAAAAGAAAAGAGGTTCAGTGGGCAGAGAGGATAAAAGATAACTGTAGGCCTAGACTCCCTCCACCTGCACATCAGCGCAAGTGTGAAGTTACTGTATGCTTGTGTCATTCGAGACTCTTTTTAGAAGGCCACTTTCCTCATCGCAGAGACTTGCCAAAAATACGATCGTATTCAAGAAGGGGAATTTATGACTTGAAATTTCTGCCAAATTCTGCTATGGATCGCATGCAGGTGAAAGACATCGCTGTTCATCTCATCTATGACACATTTACTGAAGTTTTACAGTTCTGTCACTCAAAATGATTTGTGTTTTAAGAAACGTTTTCCGAGGAGTTCTCTGTCATTCATTTGATCGAAACAGTCAATGTTACAATTTAACTCTTTCCCCTCCAGCGTTTCATAAAAAGTTGCAAGCCACCGCCAGCATTTTTGATCATTTTCACAAAACTTTCATGGCCCCCAGAATATTTTTTTGTATGAATATCTGAACATGCAATAATATATCAAAAGAAAGAACAGAGCATCTGCTTTATAAAACAACAACAAAAACGATTTTCATGCATTCTTGAAGCTCAAATGTGGGTACGCTTCATTAAAAAAAGCAAAATGTTGAACAAAAAAAACGGAGAAAATCGTGTTTTTGTTAAAGACTTTGTCAGGACGGGATTCAGAGCGATGAACAAAACACAGATGAAGTAAATCTAGTCCATCAACACCTCAAAGCTTCAGTCGTTTCCTCTTCATGGGTTCAACATTTCATTCAGTAACGATAGACAGTTTTGATTTATATGATGTTTAATGTTTGATGATCATGTTATTTTACATGTGCGTCAGCAATGCTTCTATCGCTTGTTTCTGCTTCTTCTTCTCCTGTGTTTTGATCAGGAGACTATACTCTTTCAGAAGATGCGTAATAGCGCCCGCTACCGTATAACTGAGAAAATATGAATTACCGATAAATTCTGTCAATGGTGGGGACAGTGCCGCCGCTCCCACCACGCGCATCACGCACTGTGCGTAGGGCACCATGTGGGGAAAGAGTTAAAAACAGCTGTTTTCTATGTGAATATACTTTAAAATGTAATTTATTCCTGTGATCAAAGCTGAATTTTCAGCATCATTACTCCAGTCTTCGGTGTCACATGATCCTTCAGAAATCACTTTAATATGTCACTATCAATGTTGAAAACAGTTTTTGCTGCTTAATATGTTTATGGAAACAGGAATCAGGATAAATAGAAAGTTCAAATGAACAGCTTTGCATCACAGGAATACATTTTTTTTATCATTTATTTTACCTTGGTGAGCAGAAGAGACTTTTAAAAACTCTTTAAAATCGTAATTATTTCAAACTTCTGACCGGTATTGTTTATAGTGAAGTCTCTCGATACAAACTTGATCATGTTTTTTAATATCATAGACATTGAAAAATACCTTGGATGTAATGTAAGTCGATTTATATAAAAGTGTCTGCCAAATGTATGAATGTAGGCCCGATTTGGAGGTCAGATTTGCTCCGGTAATGTGAAAGCGTCGTTGATCAGGCGTGTGAGATTGATGTGGTGTTGATCTGTTCATGTTGTGCAGGTGAATCTGAAGGAACAGGGCCAGCTGATCCGTCAGGATGAGTTCCTGTTGACCTTCAGGAAGAAGAAATGCTACCGTCACATTTTTCTCTTTCAAGATCTCATACTCTTCAGCAAGACACGCAGAACTGACATCGGGAATGACACGTACATCTACAAACAATCCTTCAAGGTAAACCACCACACGAACCGTCCGTGAACAGGTCAAACTCTTTGTGTCTTGGACCTTGACGTCTCTTCTGTCCTCTCTCAGACCTCAGACATCGGTATGACACATAACTCTGGAGATAGCGGCCTGTGTTTTGAGATCTGGTTTCGGAGAAGGAAGTCACAGGACACGTACGTACTTCAGGCACAGAGTCGAGAAGTGAAGGAAAACTGGACCAGAGACCTGGAGAGGATTCTGTGGGAACAAGCCGTTCACAACAGAGGTGAGCAGAACAAGGATTTCAGACTGTATATAATTGGTTATAAGTGCATATATTTACAAAATTAAAAAAAATGTTGGTATAGTATTGATACAGTAAGCATGAATGGTGGAGATGAGGCACCAGTGTGATTTAAATTAAGAAGAGTTTAACCCCCTGGGGTCGGCTATCGCGCCGGCGCGATTGTCTCGCTTTTTTTCTTATCAGTGCAAAAGAGACTCAAAATACTCGGTTGATTTTGATCTTACATATAAGTGTGATACATCATTAGATCCTGTTAAGTTTCTATTTTTTTTGTGGATACTCACAATAAAAACAAAGTGTTGTGCTTTTCACCAAATAAAGAAAAACAAACATGATGCGAGTTCAGCGTTCTCTCTGTCAGTGAAGTCCATTCTGAAACGCGTCCTAAGATTAACTGTAACTCCGCGATTACTTGTCACACAGGCACGAGAGATTTTTCTTTATGAAGCTTGAATTCTCTTCTTTTAAATGAAGTAATTTATATAAAAAACAAATATTCTCAGTTTATGCAATCTGTATGAAAAGAGAGTGCTGTCAGTATTTTTTTCCCAGCTCATTACACTTCATTACGCGTTAATCTGACACGCCCACAGAGGACGCGCGCTATTCAAACGCAAATGTCGAGGCAAGCCATGACAATGCCCACATCAGCCGTTCCACCGCGGCGGTAAAATGTGTGGTGTATTTGCTGCCTTTTACCGCTAAGAGGCGCTACAGTCATAGACTCTGAAAAGTGTTAGTTTATTCCGGTTTATTCTCTCTAATGCGTAATCTGCTGCTGCACCGCGCTGATTCAGAGCGATTGAAAGCAGATGAATTCAACAAGTGAAACGTAGTTAAAATAATTCATAATCACATTACTGAAATTAGGCTACTGAAATGTAATTGAATAAATAATGAAAACATTTCAACATCAAGGCTACATCAATGAGGCTTTACAACTTTAACAGCGTACAGACGGTAGCTCAGTGATCAACGCAACAACACGAGCTTCGAGGAGCTTCATTCGACCCGAGATCGAATCTCAATGTGGCATACATGTTGTTAACCGATGTTGGCCTACAGCGTTTATATTTTACCACCTTGATGCTTAAATAGGTAACTGTTTATAACTGTTTACTTATTTAAAAAAATAAATTTGCTACATTCCTGTAGAACCGCAGCCGCTGCACAAACGACAAAAACTGATGAAGGAAGATTGTCAGCCGATTGCATCAGAAAATGAAAATGAAGAAGCTCGTCTTTAGTCTGCTAAATTATTGTGTAATGTAAAAGAACACTAAAATTACTTAAGTTTGAAACCAAGTTCGAACATTTCAAGGTTTAAATAAAGTGTCGGGACAGTTTTTTTTTTTTTTTTAAACAGGGTTGCATCGGGTTTAGAGTTTATTTCTTTTGCGATGCAAAATAAGAAACACTAGGCTAATCTTATTCTTGCGACATTTTACATTTGTATTGCCAAAGAAATTACAGCTAAATTAAACAATTAAAACAGTACAAAACGAAAATTGTCCAAAGAAACATAATTAAATTAAAAACATGCGTTTCTCTTTGCCTCTCTCGCGCTGGATCTCTTTTTAACAAGTTTATTTAGTCTCCCTCGCTGCGCGCGCCGCGTCTCTCTCGAAATTAAACATTTCAGGGTAAAAACACATCATACAGCTGATAATACTGTATATGTCGCTGCGTGTCAGCCATACAAATCACGACAAAATTATTTAGCCTTTAATTGTTGCTTCAAAGACACAGCACGCCTTGTTGAATTCACCTTACAATAACTTCAATTGAAATTTTGTGTGAAAAAAACTTTAAATAGGCTACAATAAATAAACTAAAATATTTATAATTTAATAAGATATGGGGCCTACATTTGGACACAGATTTATCCTTACAATAATTTTGCCTGCTCATCAGGCTGGTTATCCGACACTCTCCATATGAAAGAGGAACATTAACACCTTTGTCCAGCAACTGTCCCTCCAACCCCCCCACAGGCTATCGGAGTATGAGGCTGACTTAACACAAAGAGAAGTCGCAATTCACACTTAAATCGCTATTCTAGACAGTGTTGATAATGAAGGAATTAAATGATTTAAGTTACATGTAGCCTAGTGATATTTCTGTCATAAAAGTTTATTACTAAATATTTCATTATTTCAATAATTGATGAAATAAAACTGGTTTGGGCCAGCTTTTTCCAAGCAAAATTAAATATAATCTGAAAAATCACATGTTAATTTGTTGTCATGAACAAAATGTTCAACTCAATATTAAAGTCTACAGGGATCTTTGGATCCTTACAACCAGGCATGCAATTTGTGAATTAAGTTTTTATTTTATTTTGTATTATTCAAATAAATATCGAAACACGGTGCTTCGTGGTAATGCTGCTAAATTAAATAACATTTATAGAATAATTATGAACTTAAATAAAACAATATCGCAACATTTCGACAAATACATTATTTGATCTGTTTTTACATTTTAATTCAGGGCGATTTAGAATACATTTAATAAGAGCGAGATTTTCACCCTTGTCTTGTCATTTTCTCATTGGGAAGCGCTTCCATTACATGTTTGAGTAGATCCTCTGTACCTCTCGTTTTCATAAGGATTAGCCTACATAATCAGATAACATTTATTAGCCTAAATATTTAGACATTTAAAGGCTTTAGACATAGCCGATTTCTTATCGTGACTGAGCTGAAGTGGCTTTCGGTTCATTTTTGTGACGCGCAGTTCCCGGAGACAGAGACGACAGATACTGTTTTTGTCGTTAGCCTAATATGAATACAAGTTTACAGTTTTGAACGATGTAAGCTACTCTACTCTTATCTGTATGACCAAAAAATTACGGAGTCGCCTATTAAGTTATTTTAGCTGTAATAATGAGAAAAATAAATTAATCTAAATGAACGCGCCGCCGCGTTTGTCGAACACTAACTCACCATGCCAAAATAAAACCCGACTTTAGAAAAATGCATAGGGCCACTCGGCGTGGTGTGCCAAAACACTTAATTATAAACTTCAATATTTCATTCAAAATAATCTCATCAACACGCTTTGTGAAATTTTTAAAAGCCGTGCATGCATTAGGGCCACTGGAACTACTGAACAACTGAAACGCTGGTTTTGATTTTATTGTTTGTCGTTTAAACGTGCCTGTTGCATATCTCTATTTTATATATTTGATATTGGTGAAGTAGCCTATAGCATTGATTAGCTGTGGAGGGAGGGGTGTGGGGATTAAAATAATTCAGCAGAAGCAGGGATGTTTAGACCAGAAGGAAATCCCAATCCCCCCTGGCAAATCACACTTTACTTAAAACCAGTTTTTTAAAACTCTAGGTTGTAGGGAACAGACCTCTCTGCCATGCGCGCGCATGGTTTGGAGCACAATCTGTCTCGCATGCACGCTCGCTCTAGATAGATTACGGGATATTTTAACTAATTTGCGGTATAACTAGTCGATCACGAGTGGCTCAACAGGTAGATCTATAGATAAACTATATCTTTTAGGAATTTGACCGACCGGGTTGACACTTCAGCGTGAGAAATCGGGGGTGTGGCGTGAGAGCGTGAGATTTGGGTCAATTGCGTGAGTCTCACGCTCAGTGCGTGAGAGTTGGCAGCCCTGAAAAAAAAATATATATAGTATATATATATATATATAGGCTATATATAATTTATTTATTACAGAACTGCTTTTGAAATTACGATTGGTAGCCTATTATTATACAGATACAAAGTCGTTTTGTTGGGTACTATTTTGTGTGTAAAATGGAAATGCATGATAATTGTATTTTATATATATAAGCAAAAAAACTGTATGGTGTAACAGAGTTTTAGAGCTAGACAAATCTAAATAAATATAAAACTTACAACAGACCAGGCTTGTGCGGGATTTGAACCTGTGTAATCTGGATGATTAACCGTAAGTTCTACCGCTCGGCTATGAATTTTCTCACTGAGAAATACCCGAACGTCTGTTTCTCACATGAGCGAGAAAACGTTTTGTCTTTAGCCTGTGAGTGTAGGCCTATACTTTAGCCTTTTACAGTTTTAAAAGATTATATCTTATCTGTATGACCAACAATTACGGAGTAGGCTATAAATGTTTGTTGTAGGCTTATTTGGAAATTACCATAACTTGTAGTATTTCATCCTTAGGCTACAGACATTAGCCCCACTTACGTTTTGCTAAATGTCCCTTTGCGCCACCTGGCGGTCATTTCGCGAACGACTTTGAAATGCGACTGGTTTATTTTTACCGTGGTGGATGGCTAAAAATGGTATGTGGATGGCTAAAAGGTGACTAAAAATGTGCTTTTGGCTTTCATTTATATTTTGATTGTTTGTATATATATATATATATGTGTGTGTGTGTGTGTGTGTATAAATATTTATTTATTTATATATATATATATTGTCCTTGCATTCTTTCTTGTGTGACACCCCTGAATGAAAGGCTCATTAGTATGCAGTCTGCTCAGGTGAGAACTGCCTAATTATTCATGAGGGGGTTGGGTCGTTCACGCCCATCCGCATATTGCCTTTGCAAACAAAAAATGTTTTTCACAATTTAAAACAATCTATTGTTTTATGTGAATGATTAGGCAGAATGATTTTCAGATCAATTTGAAGCAAAAACTCTAGGCAACAACATCCACTTGTCAAAAGTCTTGTGGACAGATATTTAGTATGTTATTTGTGGCCTTATATTAGAAACTTTATTTTTTATTTTTTTCAATAACCACGCATAAACAATATTCTCTCAAAAATACAAACATGTACATACATGTTGCTCACATATTATGGTAGCCCTGTGTGTGCTATATAGAGTGTAATTTCACCTGTGCCATTAATATGTTTATAAGCAACTGAAAAAAGCAGAAATGTCAGAGCATGCCAAAACATCTCAAGGACCCCGAAAACACCTCAGACCCCAGAGGGTTAAAGGTAATCCGAGATTTCTCCATGTTTTATTTAAATTCAGGTTGTGCTACATTGCTTAATTTTAAAGACAGTTTGACAAATTAGTAATTAAATCTTTACCCTGTGATTAGATGTGATTGCTTACTCTGGGAACTCTTTCATTTCCCCCCAATCCATTGAAAAATGACTTTTTTGGAAATCTAAACCACTTCATTTAAAAGCGAGTTTTAAATCTGTAAAAGGATTAGAGTTAATCTACGTCTACTGTAAAACCTTGATTTAATGTGCGTTTAAGATTTATTCTCATTGGTGCAACGTGCAATTACTGACATTCCTGTTACCTCATATTTATGATTATGAAATGAAAACCTTAAACCTAAGAGCCAGTGTAGCAATGTTCAGGGAAGAAGGAGGCGGGAACCGGCGGACAATCAAATTAAAACTTTATTTAAATGAAATAAACACAATACCTGCCAGCAGTCCCTCACGGAACTGCTGGCTACCCAAAATAAAATATAACTACCTGCCAGCAGCCCCTCACGGACGACTGCTGGCTACCAAAATAAAATAAAATAAAACACAAACAAAAGCAGGCCTGTTCCTCTCTCGATCATCCACTCCGTCGCTCCTCCTTTATGCTTCCGCTCCTCCGTGAGAGATGCGAGACCGGTGTGCTTCCCAGGTGCTGCTCATTAGCAATCGCACCACCGGCCTCGCGACGTTCTCTCACGTCCCTCGGCCGTCCTGCTCACCACAGCCAGTAATATGAGTGCGCTTGGGTTTATCAAGCATAATGAACTGCTGGGAAGTGATCTTGTATATTGAGGAATGTGAGAAAGATAAATGACAGAAGCTGAACTCCTACGCACAGCTGTATTTATTCATGAATCTCACCTCTGTTCTCGAAGCACATTTCCCGATAATAGTCCTATTGATGTTTTTTCCTTAGAATTGTTTACCCTGTAGATGTGCGGGAATAAAGCCAGAAAATCAATCTATTATGCAACACCGTATGAATGAAACATTTTCAGCAGTTTCACTGTAAATCAATTTTTTAGACAATCCAAAAGATAAATATTCTGAATGTTCTGATCCAATCTGACTTCAGACCTGTAATGCTGCCTGAATCATAATCATACACTGTTCGTTGGTTGGTAACTGAGCGCTTTTTTCTCCAGAGCGGCTGTATATATAAGTGAACTAAATGAATAACTTTTTTAAAACAAAAATGAACCATCACTGAACTCACTTAAGCTGGACTGTGATGCTATTTTTTTCTAGAAACAATCTTTGTTGCATTATTTTCCTGTTATAACAGTAAAGCTGCTTTGAAACACTTTGTATTTGAAAAATTTCCTGATGAAGTTTTGGTTCATTGCCACTGTCGCCTTTGGCTTTTGGCTTCCTTAGTTGGGGACATTTAGGGGGCTTTCACACTAGCACTTTTGGTGCGCACCCGGGTTCGAATGACGTCAGAGTTCGGTTCGTTTGGATGATGTGAACGCTGTCTTCCGAACTCGGGTGCGCACCCGCGAACCGTACTCGGGTCCGCTTAAAAAGGTGGTCTGGGGTACGGTTCATGTGAACTCCAGTACGGTTCGCTGCTGATATGAATGCAATCGAACCAAACCCCGGAAGTGAACCGCTATTGATGACGTATAATGTATAATGTGGTCGACAGGACAGTCGTCAGTGTGTGTGTGTGTGTGTGTGTACACTTACCTTGACGAAAAGCGGGATTGACGCACTGCAAGCAGAGATATGATTTATGTTTGCCTCTGCAAAAATTGTCTTCGGCTGACAGCCAGCTGTCTTTGGAACGATTTTAGTACTTTTGCGGCAGACACACCCAAGTGTGTTTCTGTATCTTTTCTTTGAAAACAAAACCAAAGGTTAAAAAAAAGAACGAACAAATGTGAAGCGACCAATTCTATCCATTTTGACGCCTTTTCATTCATAGCGGCGCCGGTTACCAAGCAACATGATTACGCGCCAGCTGCAGCTTGATGACGCAAGCGTACCGCGGTTCGGATACAAATAATATTTGTGAACACAGTCCATCGGGGGCAGGGGGAGGGGGGAGCAATCGAACTCGGGTTCGGAACAGGCAATCGAACCAAGTGTGAAAGCGCCCTTAATATTCAACAATATTATTGATCTGCCTGCATTTACACCATTATATGAGAACTGAACTGAGCTGATGATGACATCACAATTTTCTCCAGAGCAGCTATATATAAATGAACTAAATTAATAACTTTTTTAAAACAAAAATTAACCATCACTGAACTCACTTAAGTTGGACTGTGACGCTATTTTCTTCTGGAAACAATCTTTGTTGCATTATTTTGCTGTTATCACAGTAAAGCTGCTTTGAAACACTCTGTATTGTAAAAAGCGCTGTATAAATAAAGCTGACTTGACAATCACAAAACATCACAGAATTCATCAAATAATTAGATAATGCTCATCGATATTGTGTTGTAGATTTCCCTCTAAATGTACTTAACTGCTCACCAAGGCTGCGTTTATTTGATCAAAAATACAGTATAAACAGTAATATTGTGAAATATTATTGCAAATTAAAATAACTGTTTTCTATTTATATTGTAACCGTAATTTATTCATTAAAGCTGAATTTTCACATGATCCTTCAGAAATCACTCTAATATGATTCAAGAAAAATTTCTGAATATTATCAGTGTTGAAAACAGTTGTGCTGCTTGAAAAAATGTTTTCAGGATTTATGAATAGAAAGTTTTAAAACACTATAAATGTATGTACTGTCTTGAATCAATTTTAATGCATCCTTGCTCAATAAAAAACTATTAATTTCTATACCCATACTTTTGAGCAGTAGAGTAATTTAAACCAAATGATCAAAAAGGGTTTTCTTACCTTAAAGGGATACTCCACCCAAAAATTCTGTCATCATTTACTCACCCTCAAGTTGTAGCAAACCTGTATGAGTTTCTTTCTTCTGCTGAACACAAAGGAAGATATTTTGAAGAACGATTGGAACTTTGGCACCATTGATTTCCATATTATTATTTTTTTCCTACTATGTAAGTCAATGGTGCCAAACAACCGTTTGGTTCCAATCGTTCTTCAAAATATCTTCCTTTGTGTTCAGCAGAAGAAAGAAACTCATACAGGTTTGCAACAACTTGAGGGTGAGTAAATGAAATTTAATTTTTGGGTGGAGTATCCCTTTAAGGGGTTTGTGTTTTATTGTTGGGTTCTGCTGCTGTATTGTAATAAACTAAGATGATTTATAAACATTGTGGCCCGGTTCAACAGACAGGGTTTAGATTAAGCCAGACTTACTCCTTAGTTCAGTTAGGACATTTATGTAGCTTTTATAAACATGCCTTTGAAAAAAAAAAAACATTGCTGGTGTGCATCTTGAGACAAAACAATGCAACATGAAAATCCTATAGCAGGAATGACCCATGTGTTAGTAATCACCAGGGCTTGACACTAGCACTCACCAAGATTTGCTCCGGATGGATATTGTTGGTGTTACAGGGCTTGAATTTTCCGAGTGATTGCACGTATCGCTCATAATTTTACTCATTCTACTTATTTTACTCACATTTTTTGCTCACACCACATTACATCACTACACACTACATTTAGCTCTTTTTCGCTGCTTATTGCTCTTAAACAGTCAACAAAAAAAAGGTGAGTGTTCACATAAACACAGTCAGTTATGTTTTAAATGAATGTAAACAGTTGAGAAAGAAAACACATGTGTAACAGTATAATGGATCCGTGCATCAGGCGTTAAAGTAACAGCAGCCTAATAAATCTGCTGCCAAATTATGAGATAATATTAAGAATATATATATGGCAGGTTTTCCCCATGGTATCACTGTCAAAATTGTGGTCAGTGAAAATGTGTGGCTGGTAACTTTAGAAGACCACTAGCCACAGTACCTGGTGAGCAAAAAGAGTTCATGTCAAGCTGAGGGTCTGTGCTGATCTTCACACAGAGATCCGGATGCAGGAGAGGGTGTTCATGGGAATCGGACATAAACCCTTCATGGATATCCAGCCCAGTGACATGGCCATCAACGACCGAGCCGTCAACTGTGCTCTGACAGGACGAGGTGAAACACCAGTCATAAGGGGCTTTCGCACCGGAGGAACCTTTTCATAGTAGCCGGATTTTGGCGTGTTCAGGAACTAGGAACGAAATTAGTTCTAGGAACTCCTTTTGGAGGAAATTTAGCTCCTACTTCAGAGTCGAGTCTAAACCAACACTGAATCTAAGCTCTAGTTCCTTTGCGACTGACGTATCGATCTTGCCGAATCAGGTACTCAAGATGGCGGAAGACAAGTTTTAGAAGTGAGTGACGTCAGTGAGGAGACGTTGGTGACATCATCTGATATTCATGGAATCATCCGTGACGTTAGTGAACGCTGATTGGCTAAACGCACGCGAAACCCCTGCACCCGCCATTTAAAAAAAGGCTCTAAACACACAGATTATAGCCTATATATTTACTCCACAAACTAACTCTACGAACATGTAAAACAGTGATAGATAGGCATCTTAATCTTTACGCTGAGGAGAAAATCCAACGTAATTTTGAGGGGACCAAGCCAAACATGATTAACTTATGTTATGTATCTCTGCTCAGCGACACTGGACATCAACCACACGGCATACGCTAATAACTTTTCATTATGGTCTACTTTCTATGTATAACAGTTCTGTCTAATAACGTATTAGACAGAACTGACAGATCTTAAACTAATGAACACGGAGTAAACTAATGAACACACTAAGTCCCTCTCCTCCGCTTCCGGCTCATGGGACCTTATTTCGGAAAAAATATGTATGGTAGTCAATGGCGAGAGACAACTTATCTTTTTATTCCGTCTGAACTGTACCCTGAATTACACATATGATGTTTGTCAATTTAAAAGATAACTCTGAAAGTGAAAAATCGTGAAAATCGCTCAATGAACTACATCTCCCGGGAAGCGAAACAACGAGCGAGATCCGCTGCTCGTGTGTGTGCAGTCTGGTACAAAACACTCAGGCATGACGGCGTAACGTTACGATTATAACGTAAGACTATAGAAACAATGACAGACGTTAGCTTCAGTAAAGTTAGCTTCAGTAAAGTTAGCTTCAGTAAATTTAGCTTTAGCTTCAGTAAAGTTAGCTTCAGTAAAGTTAGCTTCAGTAAAGTTAGTTTCATTCATTGAGAGAAAATGTGCACCTTTGGGGTTTGTAGTCTTTGTAATTACGTATTTTCACAGTCTTATACCTCAACAGTTTTACATCAAACTGCGACTTTCTTGACTTAAAAATGTATCTTTTAAATTGACAAACATCATATGTGTAATTCAGGGCACAATTCAAACGAGATCAAAATATTTGTTGTCTCTCGCCACTGACTACTGTTGGGGAATTTCATTTGTCTCATACATGGGTCTGAATATAAAATGCTGTAATGTTAGAGAAAACCAGGTCTGAATGCTGTAATGCCAAGCAGAAAAACTAGGTCACAGGGCATGTGAGGATAGGGCACATAAGGACATGGACAAGAGAGTGGAAAAGTACCCAAAAGACTTGTAGCACAGATGCAGGTGTTGGGAGGCACTGGAAGAGAAACATATTGTATACAATGTAACGATGTACCACCAAGAAAAAGATACTGAAACAAGATGTCCATTGAGTAAACGACTGCTAAAAGCAAGAGGTCCATTGTGTGAAAAGAAAAACTAATACAGATGCCCATTATGTGAAAAGATACTAATACAGATGCCCATGGTGTAAAAAGATACTAATACAAACGCTAATTGAATACTAAAGATAAGAAAAAGGTATAAGACTAGAGCACTGGCCCATGAAAGATCAGATGACTAGCTACCATCTCACTTTGTTGAACTGCTCAATAAAGTTATTCTTCTGAGACCTGAAACTTCGACTCTGAAAGATTTCTTCTGAGACCTGAACCAGACTTTGAAGAGTTGAACCAAAGATCGAGAATTTGCCACAACACTACCATACAATATTTTTCCGAAATAAGGTCCCATGGTGGTCGACCGGAAGGGGAGGGACTTAGGCTCTCTATTCTCTGGTGTTCTCAGCGCCGTCAAAATAAAAGTCACAACAACAAGCGTGGCTTACTTCACTTCAGAGTTCCTACTGGCGGTGCGAATGCAACCAGGAAAAAGTTCCATGGGGAACCATTAGTTCTCGGGGAACCACATAGGGCTGTGTTGAAAAAATCGATTCACCAATTCTGAATCGATTTTCATATTAATTTCTAAAGATCGATCCGTAACTCAGAGGATCGATTTAATAATAGGCTTACATTTTCCCCGTGAACTTGCCGCGATTGGGAGATCCCTGTGCGCATTGAAAGGCTTTCACTCAGCGCGCACATTGTTACAACAACGGGCTTTGAGTGAGTCATTCGTTCATTCAACAAACACGTTCAAAAAAGCTGATTCATTAAAAGAGATGTAATGAAACAAGGTGTTAATTATTTTTAACTTTGAGTTCCACTTTTCAAGGCTCAGCTGAGCAGCAATGCGTCGCATGGGTAACGCTGAAGCTGATGCTTCACTTATTAGAGACCAATATGGCATTGATTCAATGCGTGACTCGCTGATTTTATTTCCCCGCGGCTTCCTCGCGCTGTGGAATGCTGACCAGCGCTGCTGCTGATGCGCATTTATGGTAAATACCCGTGACGTGAACGTTAAAAGGATGATAGCCTACGACAAATATTTCGCTTTCCTTTGACACGGCAACCTTTTTCACGAATACATATGACTTCAAAGACAGACGCAATCCGCACGCGCTCTGCCGATCTCTCTCATTCACTGTCTGTGCGAAGCCTCTGTAGGCTACACATCACCACGATAAACAGTCTTGTTTGTTATCATTATGAACTTGTTTAACATTCAATACACATGCATGACGTTCAAAACAAGCAGTTAAATGTCTATAATAGCCTAATAGTATCAATATGTTGCATAACTACAGTCCTGTAATTCAGGTAACAGCTGGAAAAAACAAAAACACTTATCTAAATCTCGAAAATCGGATCAGATCGGATCGGATCGAATCGAATAATGATAATCGATT